CCCCAAAACCCCAAAACCCCAAAACCCCAAAACCCCAAAACCCCTATTTATGTGTAAATATTTGAATTTAATTTAAGTCATTATTCAATATAAATATTTTAATTACTCTCATCAGAGAATAGAATGGATAACATGCACTTTAGGCAGCATAGCGGTCTGAATGATCCTGAAGGGTTGATTAACGTGAAGGTCAACGTAAATCCGGCTATGAATGTCTTCGTGTAAGTTTCTTCATTTCACTTAGATATTTTTAGCAGTTTCGTCATTTGATTTTATAGAAAAACCAATATTGTTGGCAACCAAACCACTAAGATTTTGAAAAACAATAAGAGAAATTCATTTGGAAAAATCAAGAAAGGCAAGAAAATGCCAACTAACGCTCGGAATTTCCAGCAGAAAAACTGGTTTAACTCAATAAGGAAGCAAGAAGGAGAAAAAGCAAGTACATTGATTGAGAAAAAGCAAAAATTGGAAAATAATTTTATATCTCTTCTGAACAGCAATATCAACAAAGGACGATCAAGGAAGATCAAAGACGGAAGGCATGTGCATACAGCTAAGGCCGGGAAGAGAACTCATTTCTTTGCCAACCCTCTGTCACCTTCTCCAACTAGAGGAGCCCCTACGATATTCGCATCAAATAATGGCTTAACTGTTGCAAGGCCAAAAAGCACCAGAGTGAACAAGATCCGTGGTAAGAATGCCTTCAGAAAGTTCGGGATCAATTCAAAGCGAATGCAGACTGCTAAAAGAATGGATAAGTTCTACATGAGGACTTTTAGTAAGCAACAAAATGACATGATGTCCACCCAGCAGTCTAAAATTATGAGTGACCTTAATGTGTCAAATCGGGTTTATAGGAACTGTGTCGCAAAGCCTAATTACCTTAAATACAAACTTATGCGAGAGATCTTATCAAAAAGATCTCTCCAGGAGATCAAATATCTTGAGAAGAAGGTTCTTGGAGAAGATGAAGATATTGAAGTCAGAAGTTTTGAAGAGAATTTAAGGCAAAATTATGAAGATCCAGATGAACAATTATTGTCTGTTCTTAGTTCAGATAATCGACCAGGTATACACTAGTTTTTGCAACCTATTCTTTAATTAACTTAATGAGTATCTGTAGAAATGAAAGTAGAGGACTATCAAGAGGATGATTATGCGAAATACTATACTACCCCTTCTAACTCAGATACAAAGATGCTGAGTCAGGTTGTAAAGCCCATTGCTTCAAAATTAATACACAAAGATGAGAACTTGAAAACAGGTATTATTAAGCTTAGCAATCATAATCTTGAACCTATGATATAGTAAAATCAAAGAAATCAAGAGTCTTATCAAAAAGGAAAGGGCCCAAGTCCACCGAAGCAACAAAAGTCTTCAAGAATAAATAGAATATCTAAAGGTTCTGCACAGGATTCCTCAAAATTTCTCAATAAAGACCAGGAGTATGACCAGAAATCAACTATTTTTCAAGGTAAAATCCGTATAATCTTTCAGACAGCACTATAAATCAGAAAAGTTTGCAGAGGACTAATTCGAATAAATAAAACAATAGCTATAATCTGAGACGGTTCATCTATGAGCTACCAGCCTAAGGTTTCATGAATAACGACCAAGGCGCCTAAGTCCAAGTACGGGATTGAGGATTACCTCCAAAGAAGACATTTAGACTCCTGTATGAAAGTTGATAAAGCAGATAGGATTATCAGGTTCGAAGGCATTCAATAATTTTTCAATATTTTAATTAAAATTTGGGGTTTTGGGGTTTTGGGGTTTTGGGGTTTTGGGG